GAACTGAGCTGAATAGAAGGAATTTCTGAGGGGAAAAAGATAGCCTTTCTCTTCATGATGGTCCTTTAGTCAACTATGAAAAATAACTTAGTAGAAAAGGTAAGTGATCCACCTCCATTTCTCATTTATCTCCTTTCTCTTGAAGATATCAGAAAGAGAGGAAACCACAATCTTTCCATCTCACCTAAATCCCCCAAAATACAAAAAGAGATTTGCTTTCCTTTCTTCTGCTTCCAAAACTCTTTCCCCTCCCATGCCACGACTTCTAAAAAGCATGCTCCAAAGAAGCAGAACTTATTAATTTTAAATCAAGATTAGGGTTATGATTACGAAGACCCTCCGAGCTTTGTTTGGCTGAAGGAAAGGATAAAAATACAAGAGTAAATAAAGGATTTATCTTCCCTTAGCACCCGTGTGCAGGTCATAAAGGAAATAAGTTTTTGGTTGAGAATGATGATTTAAAAAAAAACAAACACCAGGAAGTGTTAAGTGTGATTTAACTTTCTGCCTGGGTTTGTTATTCCTTATAATCCCAAACATGAAAAGGGAGCAAAAAAATGCCTTTCCGAAGGCAGATAAATTTAACATGCAAAAAAAAAAAAAGGAAGATTTTTGAAGAGGACAATTTCAAGAATGCCAGGACAAATGTTTATGGGCTTAAATTAGAGTTGTTGATTAAGCATTATCTGGGCCTTCAAAAATTCTTTGGGTTGTTATGTTCATAGCAGAGTGATTGACAGTTGCCAGAGTCCAGCCAGCTCTGCAAATGCTTATGGCTCTGTAGATGAGATTGATGCCTCCCTATGGAATAGGAGAACTACAGGTAGTCCTCAACTTACAATAGTTCATTTAGTGACTGTTCAGAGTTACAACAGCACTGAAAAAAGTGACTTTTGACCATTTTTCACGCTTATGACCACTGCAGCATCCCCACAGTCATGTGATTTACATTCGGATGCTTGACAACTAATATTCATGATGGGGGAAATCAGATTCACTTAACAATCGTGTTACTAATTTAAGACCTGCAGTTATTCACTTAACAAATATGGCAAGAAAGGTTGTAAATGGGGCAAATTACTTAAAATCACTTAACAAATTTCTCACTTAGCAACATAAATTTTGGACTCAATTGGGGTTGTAGGTTGAGGACTACCTGTATGCAAGATGTTTCCAAAATGAGCATGGATTGTCACTCTAAGTGAGGACTATCCATCTGCATAACTGGAACGAATCCTGCCTTAGTTCTCCAACTAACAACTGCACAGTTGCAAACGGATGATCTGTAGCTATAGGAGAAGAGCAGGCAGAGCTGGCAGGTGGGGTCAAATGTGTTATCAGCTTAGAGTCCTTAAGTTGCCACAAATGATCCAAGTCCAGCTTCCCTTGAATTCCTTTGGCCCTTAGCTAACGTCACTTTAGTGCTGACTGAGAGTTGACTAGATTAATGTCAGGTGCAAAAGACTATATATGTTATGTTGAGAAGTTCAGAAGATTTATTGCTCAAAGCTATATGCAACAATATAGTCGACCCATGGTCAGCTCCAAATTGGCCTGAGATAAAAATCAATGGAATTCAAGGGGGGAGGCTCTTGTGGCAACATATTGATTCTAAGCTGATGACATGTTTAATTCTCCCCCCGCCCCCCAAAGCTCTGCTGCTTGCTCTTCTCTTACAGTAGCAGCTACTCTAAAAACTCTTGTTTTAAGACAGTGGCACTCCCCAATGCACACAGCTCTCCTCCTCCCAAAAACTGAGTGTTGGCCTAAGTCATTAATGTGCAAAATGTTCCCTGAGGCACTGCTGGGGGTGTCAAGAGTCCTATGGTTGATGGAAGAGCAGCAAAGATGGTTTGACAATGCTATTGTAACATGAGTATGACTTGCAGTACACACAAGTTCATCAACCTATCTCCCCCTCATCCTTTTTCCTCAGTCTTAGGAACTGATCAAAATGGGAAAATCATATATCAAATTCAAGCCCTCTGCTCTACAGCATCCAAGAAGAGGATAAAATTATTTTTCAGGGGCAATGAAGACTAGAATAATACCTCCCAATCCTTAGCAATGCTCAGCAGAAATACTTCATGGGCGTAGATCCCACCCTGCATTTGTTTCCCAATTACTATTATGTAATTTGATAAATGAAATTTGCTTTCAGAATTAGTTTTTTTAAAATATGACATATAATTTAAAAAAAATATCAAAATGTTTTTAAACAAGAGAAAAGGTAAAATTGTCAGAAGGTGTAAAGTTTATTAAATTATGAAATAGCCAAGCTGCTTATAAATGATGACATGGTGTAATATGTGTTGTTATTCATCTCAGGTTTTATCTACCTATTTTTAAGAATTGCTAAGGTCTAGGTGGTTTTTACTATATCCTGATATGTAAAACCATTGAATTCAAAGAGGGTGTACTTTCCTTTTCACTTGAGCATACTATACAAGTTACTTACTTGCTTAGAAAATCTGAATTTGGGGAAAAGAAGGATGAAGAAGCCAATATGGTAAAAATACAGGCAAAAATAGAGATGATTAAAAACCTGAATAGTTGCAAAAAGTCCCCAGAGGTATGGGTATTTACTTTGGAGGACAGAATTCTCTGGGGTAGCACCTTACCCAGGAAGCCAACTAGCCTCAAAAATAAGAAGTGTATTCATCAGTAACTTTCAGAAAGTTGTTGGAAATCTAGCTGTATAAATAAGGTGCTGGAGATCCAGAGATGTGGTTAAGTAGGCACTTGCACATGTATGGAAAAATTGACTGTGGTTTTATGATATTGAAAGTTAGAGGATGGTTTAGTTATGGTTTATTGAAATTTATTTACATTTTGCTATACCTTATCCATTTCATTATTACTTTGAAAGCCCAACTAAAGTGGCAAAGATAAAGTTGTAATCAGTCAAACAAATACATCCATGTTAAGGCAGCTCCTTGCAAGTAAATTTTCTCCTAAAGTATTTTAGGCATGTAAGCAGCCAGTACAGGTGGTCCTCAACTTATGACATGTCACTTAGCAACCATTCAAAGTTACAAAATAAAGGTACTTATGACTTGGGTGCAATGCTCCAATGGCCACAAACCTCTCCCTGTGATCAAATGACCACGATTTACAATACTTTTTGCCAGAAACTGCTTTTTACTACTGATTTTCTGCAAACGAAATATAGTGAAAAATAGCTTCCCTTAATGACCACTGCATTCACTTAACAACTACAAAAAAGGTCGTAAAAATCTGGCCTAGTCATTTAATGCTTGTGGCAACTTATAATCCTAGTTGCAGGCTCAATTACTGTCACAAGTTGAGGACTACTTGTATAATGACAATGGAACATGAAAGGTTTTCTAGAGTTACCTGCTAAAGCTCCTCTATGAAGAAGATGAACAGTTAGAAAGTTTGATAAATAAATAAAATTATGAAAATCAAAATTCTTGTTCTTTTTCCGTCTTCAAACAAAAACTGACCAATCCGAAACTTTCTTCTACTGTTAAGGAGCCTGTTTCGTTCCCAACTAACCTGAGAAGCTTCCACTGTTTTAGAAGTAAACTAGGGATGGAAGTATTTCCTGACAACCTGTCTAAATTTGTTATCCTAAAATCTGAACATTGACCTTCTTTTAGCACCAACCTTTATTCATCCTTTTCTTCATGGAAATATTCTGACGAGCTAAATTCTTAAAGCCTGAACAGAGTTTTCAGAAAGAGAAATTCAGCATTTCTTGAGGACTGAATTGATGCAAAGTTGAACAAAGATCATTTTCCTACCAGGGACTTCCAGTGTCTTCATAGCAGCCATCACTGAAATAATATTATCTTCATTTCTACTATTTTGGGAGTCTGGAAAATACTGTAGGCTGCTTGTGAAAAAAATGACTTCAGAAAGATTTGTCTTAGGACAAAGGTCCTTGACTTACAACCATTGATTTAGTGACCGTTTGAAGTTACAATGGCACTAATAAAAAGTGATATATGATCAGTCCTCACACATATGACCCTTTGAGTATCCCCATGGCTATATGATCAAAATTCAGGTGCTTGGCAATCCACATGTAATTACAGTGGTAGCATCCTGGAGTCATGAAATCACATTTGTGACCTTCCCATCTGGCTTCTGACTAGCAAAGGCAGGGCGGGGGGGGGGGGGGGGGGGGGGGGGGAAGCTGCCTTTGCTTAACAGTCACATGAATCGCTTAACAACTGCACTTAATAACCATGGCAAAAAAGATTGTAAAATTGGGCACAAGTCACTTCATAACCACTTTGTTAGCAACATTAGTTCTGGTCCCAATTATAGTTTTAAGTTGAGGCTCATATGGATGTTGAGAAGAGACTGGGGAGAAAGGAACGAGGGACTACATTATCGGGGAATTAAGCTTTTTCTAATTATTATAGTCATGGGGATTTTGTTTTCCCAATGTAGTATGAAATTTGGTTTCTTACAGTTCTAATTATGCCCAGTTTTAAGCTTCCCTGTTTACTGGTGAAAAGATCTGCCTCCTTGCCAGGTCACAGAAGATTGTAAGAAAGACCCTACGAAGTCTCCACTGTAATATACGTGGTACTTTTGTCTCTCAAAGTCCAGTTCAGTTGCTGGAATTCTTGTAACCCTGTTTCTTTCTTCTGGATAAATCTTACTAAAGAGGAAAAAACAAAAAGATGCTAGAGAGGAAGTAAACTTACGTTTTTCTTCAAAACTACTTAAGGAAGGGGCTGCAATTGCAAATCATCGTGATTTCACATCACTAATGTACTTCTTATACTAAAGAAAAGTTGCTGAATCATGAGATCATTCAAACCTATATTTACATTCAGGTATCTAATTCCAGAGTGAAAAGGCAAATTTACTTAGATGAGATCTTACGTAGAATTTGTAAACATCTAATGCCATGGGCTCATTTTACACCACCCTAAGGAAGGTTAAGCCGTATTTAGCCAGCGATCTGTGCCCACCACTGCACTGCTGTACAATGACATCTGGAAAAGTAACGCGGTACTTACATCCACAATGAGGAAATCAAGCCAGCACCAAGCATTGGTGAAGTACTTCTTAAAGCCGTAGGCGACCCATTTCAGAAGCATTTCCAAAACAAAGATGTAAGTAAAGATTTTATCAGCATATTCCAGCATGGTTTTGATGTTCTTCCTTTCGTCCAAGTAGATGTCTTCAAAAGCCTGGGAGACAAAGTAGCATATTAAAGCATTTCCCATTGCAGATTTTTTTTTTGAAAAGAATAACAGAATAACTGAGTTGGGAGGGAACTTGGAGGTCCTCTAGTCCAACCCCCTGCTCAAGCAGGAGACCCTATACCACTTCAAACCAATGGTTGTCCAATCTCTTTGAAATCCTCCAGTATTGGAGCACCCACCAACTACAAGAGGCAAATTGTTCCCCTGGTTAATTCTTCTCCTTACTTCTAGGTTGGTTTTCTCCTTAATTAGTTTCCATCCATTACTTCTTGTCCTGCCCTCATGTGCCTTGGAGAATAGTTTGACTCCCTCTTCTTTGTGGCAGCCCCTGAGATATTGGAAGACTGCTGTCATGTCTCCCCTAGTCCTTCTTTTCATCAAACTAGACATACCCAGTTTCTGCAACCGCTCTTCATATGTTTTAGTCTCCAGTCCCCTAATCATTTGTTGTTCTTCTCTTCACTCTTTCTACAGTTGGAAGGGAACTTGGAGGTCTTCTACTCCAACCCCTTACTCAAGCAGGAGATCAGTTTTCAGCCCCAGTGTTGCATATTTTTCTTTGACCAACAACTGTTTTTCATTCTTACTCAAAGATCCTACTTACCTACTGGTACTGAATTGTCTAAATCAGGGGTGTCCATCCTTAGCAACTTTAAGACTTGTAGGCTTCAATTCCAAAATTCACCACCCAGTTATTTTGGGAGTCAAAGTCCACAAGTCTTAACGTTGACAAGATTGAACACTTCTGACCTAAACTGAGATGTTTTCTAATTCTTCAACTAAGGGAGAGAATTCAGGGTCTCTAATTAACAACTCATCCCCAAATAAAGGATTTCCTAAAATGACGTATTCATCCCTTTATGACAACAAAAGACAATTATAAATCTTGACTCTTTCTTCAAAACCAGCAAAGGGTAGTGTTTTCCATCATATCTAAGGGGAACCACATACTGAGATAATAACACAAATCACATGTAATTTTTTTTTATAAAAAAGGGGAGGAAATTGTAGGTTTTATATTCACCAAAGCTCCGCTGCTGAGAAGAATCATGAAAATGATGAACGTCTCAAACCAACTGTGTTCAACGATTTGATAGCAGGTTTTCCTCAGGCGCCACCAAACTTTGCCAGGGAATTTTGTGACATCCACTGTACAGCATGGGAGAATATGGACACAAGCTAAAAAAAAAAAAAAAAGACAAAAAGGCAGAAGAATCACTTTAATATTGTGGACTTACGACCACAATTGAGTCCAAAATTTATTAAGCAAGATATTCGTTAAGTGAATTTTGCCCCGTTTTATATCCTTTCTTGCCACAGTTGTTAAGTGAATCACTGCAGTTGTTGTTAGTGAAACAGCTATTAAGTTGATCTGGCTTCCCCGTTGACTTTGCTTGTCGGAAGGTCGCAAAAGGGCACTGCAACCGTCATCAATACAAATCAGTTTCCAAGCATCTAAATTTTGACCATGTGACCATGGGGATAATGCAAAGGTCATAAGTATGAAAAATTACAGTAAGTCACTTTTTTCAGTGCCACTGTAATTTCGAATGGTCACTAAATGAACTGTTGCAAGTCAAGGGCTACTTGTAGTGAAACAGCTTTATTTATTTATTTAGCTTATATGCCACCCATCTCTCCTAGAGGCGAATCTAGGCGGCTTACATTCAATAAAAACAATATGAAATCAAAAGATTAAAATAGCAAACAGTAACACTAACAAATGGTTTAACATTGACAAAGATGGGAAAGAAGGTAGCAAGTTGCAAAGAAGGGGGGCGATGGGGGTCTTATCTTAGTCCATTAATCACCTCCAGAATGTCACATCCCCATTGGGACCCCAGGCCAGGTGGCAGAGCCTGGTCTTCAGACCCTTCCAGAAGACCAAAGGATGGGTGCAGATCTCACCTAGGGATGCACAAGGTTCCAAAGGATGGGAGCCTCAGCAGAAAAGGCTCTTCCAAAATTCCTTGGCCGGGGATGTCTGCAGTAGGCCCCCTCTGCCAGTGCAGGTGAGGCGGGCCAGTCCCATTGGGGTGAGATGGTTCCTCAGACACCTTGGATCCATGCCATCAAGGGCTTTAGAGTTAAGGACCAAGACCATAAATTGGACCCAAAAGCAAACCAATGTCGCTCATGCAATGGAGGTTTTATGGGCCACTTTAGGGCCCCCAGGAACTATGCAGGTAGTCCTCGACTTACGACAGCAATTGAGCCCAACATTTCTGTTGCTAATCGAGACATTTGTTAAGTGAATTTTGCCCCATCTTACGATCTTTCTTGCCACAGTTGTTAAGTGAATTGCAGTTGTTAAGTTAGTAACACGGTTATTAAGTGTCATTTCCCACTGACACTGCTTGTCAAAGAATCACCAAAGGATCACATGACCCCTGCAACTGCCATAAATATGAACCAGTTGCCAAGCTTTCAAATTTTGATCACATGACCATGGAGATGCTGCAATGGCCGTGAGTGTGAAAAATGGTCATGTCACTTTTTTTTCTGCTTGAGCACAAGGTTGAACTAGTTCTCCCAGGTTCTGTCCAACTCTGGGGTTTTTTTTGTTATTCTGTTTTGTTGTTTTTTTCAGTGTCCTTATAACATTGAACAGTCTGTTGTAAGTCAAGGACTACCTGTATACATCCCTTTCTTTTTTAACGACATGCCTTAATTTTTGTGGCTTATTACTTCTTATTCCTTTTCTCTGCTCTGTGAAATGCTGATACCCAAAGGGGAGTAGAATGACAGGCATGTATGGAACTGAAGGACAGACTCCCTGAAGCATAGGCATCATAGGTATGTTTTGTTTGGCAGCTGGTTTTGTGTGAACAAAGCAAGTTTGAAATTGGCCGATGTGGCTGACAGACTGTGCATCCTTGAGCTAAATCAACTATCCTGCCCCTTTGAAGGTTGCTGATGAGAACTAATGCCTTACTGGGCTCCAGTTATCCTAGCTCCAGTTTTCTTGCAAATATTTCTTATAATTCATTGGTATTAACTGCTCCAGACTCTGTGGTGGGCAATCATTCTGGGAATAAAAGTAAGCATTTTAATGCAATTTAAAAGTAACATGCACAATTTTCTCATAGATTCTCCTTTTTAATCCTTCTTTCCTCCTTACAGTCCTTTCCCTTAAGCACATCTATTTCATTGTAGGGGGGGGGGGATCTTATATGACATCACAATAAAATCTGCCATGGGACAATGACATATTGTGTGTGCATCTGAATGNGAAGAAGGAAGATTAGGTATATTTGCTACTTTATTTATAAGAATAATGAAGGTTGAATAAAAATAATAGTCATTCTATCTCTTATTCAAACATGTGAGGGTTATTCTTTTCTAGGAAATACAGGAGAGACAGCTGCAAACTTGCCAGCGTATAAGGAAAGACCGTATCACTGAGCTATGATCTAGAGCAGGGGTCCCCAAACTTGGCAATTTTAAGACTTGTGGACTTCAACACCCAGAATTCAGCTCTGCTGGCTGGCGAATTCTGGGAGTTGAAGTCCACAAGTCTTAAAGTTGCCAAATTTGAAGACCTCTGATCTAGAGTCCTCTTTTCCTGGGTTACCTCACCAGGCTCAATGAAAATAAGCAGGGTTTTGTTTTGTTTTTTGCTGGGGCTCAGAGAATTTGTTTAGAGTTCTATTATAGCAATGCAAAGAGAAAGTTGCTAAACCAGAGGTCAATTTTCAGGCTATTGTTTAGCCAGTCAAATCCAGCAATCACTTCCTTTCAAAGGTTGCAATTCCCCAGCTACACAGCCCTAATCCAAGCTGTCTTTGCACTCCTGAATTGTTCCAGTCAAGAGGAGAACAGTTGATCCTTACTTTCTGGGAAGCAATCTTCAGGATCCAACAATTCTTCAGCCAGTTCAGGCATCTGTTCCAGAAGCTCTGAGGGAATTGCCAAATCCACTGTACTTCCTTCTGACAGGCTGATTTCATCAAATTTCTAGGGAAGAAAGAAGAGCAGAGACTTCATCATCCAGTCTTACGAAGTGCCTGTGATTAAAAAAAGAGTCTGCCTGTGTTGCTTGATTCAGTAATCTGGAAGGATAAAAACACAGAACATAGAATAACAGAGTTAGAAGGGACCTTGGAGGTCTTCTAGTCCAACCCCCCGCTCGGGCAGGAGATTTATACCATTCCAGACAAATGGCTGTCCAGTCTCTTTTTGAAAGCCTTCAGTGATGGAGCACCCACAGCTTCTGGAGGCAACTTCTGTTCCCTTGGTTGATTGGAAAGAAATTCACATGGCTGCTATGTGGGAAAGGGTGGTGCATGCAAACACATGAACAAAAAGCAAAATTATAGAGAAAAGCAACTCTATAGAAGTATTTTAAAACCACAGTGCTCAATTGTCTCTGGCATGTCATTTAACAACCATAGGAAGCCACTGGTGGAGGTCATTTATCAGTTTGAAATGAAGCATCTTCCTAGAGAAGAGAAGATGACTGTGTGCTGCTAAAGTTATTTCAGAGAGACACAATTGACAACAGCAAGGGGAATGCAAGATAAAATATGTACCTTTATTGTTATTTAATTATTTTATTTGTATCCCCCCCATTATTTTTTCAAATAACTCAAGACAGTGAATATATGCAACATACCTTCCTCCTCCTATTTTTCCCTATAACAACAATCTTGTAAGGTGGGTTAGGATGAGAAAGACTGTTACCTATCTGGCTTTCATACCTAAGGCAGGACTAGAACTTATCATCTCCTGGTGATTGGTCCAAAATCAACCAACTGGCTTTCCTGCCTAAGGTGGGCCTTGAACTCACTGCCCCCTGTTTCTAAACTGGTGCTTTAGCCATTAGACTATTGGTATAATTAGAAGATAGGCCATTATTCCATTGAAATTCATCACACTCTCATTTAAAATTGCTACCTATATAATTGGCTCTTGGGTGGTAGAACACCCTGCTACTAAAAAAAAAAAAACCCAAACCCTAAGATCCTAACCTTTGAAACGCCTCCTTCATATCTGGAACAGAAAGACACATCAGCCGAGTTCAAAAAATAACTAGGCTAAAGTAGAATTGGATGCCTGTGATTTAGCAAGTTGCTGGAAACCAGACTTTGCCTTAATATGCTTTGTAAATCAGATTGTCACATTATGTCATAATAATGTAAGTGATATGTCTGGGCTCAGAGTGCTATGTGAACCCAGCAACTGTTTTCTTACGCAGGTTTAGGTTTTGGTGTGTTTTCCCCAGGACTGTTAAAAAAATCAAGACAGAGTTGCAACTCTATGATTGAACCTAAATCATTTTTTGCGGGGTGCACTGTGACACAAATAAAAAGGGACAGGGCTTCAATCATGTGAGCACAACCCCATTTTTACTGTTTTGATTCCCCGCCCCCCTTTCTCAGATAGTACTGGTTGTGCCTATTGCTTCATTCTTCTACTTTGGCTGCGACAAATACACACAATTAGCTTGAAGTAAGCCCACTGAAAGCAACTGAAATTAAATTCTGAATATAAGATTACTCAGTTAAGAATTTTATATAATAAGGTTCAGGAATGTGATATTTGGGGGGAAATTACATAGTCCTCAACTTACAACCACAATTGAGCCCAGCATTTATTTTGCTAGGTTAAACATTTGTTAAGTGAATTCTGCCCCATTTCGCAACCTTGCTTGCCACAGTCATTATGTGAATCATTGCAGTTAAATTAGTAATGCAGTTTTTAAATGAATCTGGCACCTTCATTGCTGGGCAGAAGGTTGCACAAGGTGGTCACATGACCCCAGGACAATGCAACCATCATGAATACGTGCCAATTCCCAGGGTCTGAATTTTGATAACATGACCATGGGATGCTACAATGGTCATGAGTGTGAAAAATGGCCATGCCACTATTTTCAATGCCATTGTAATTTGAATGATCACTAAATGAATGGTTGTAAGTTGAGAAGCTATGCTGGCTGGAGAATTCTGGGAGCTGAAGTCCACAAGTCTTAAAGTTGCCAAGTTTGAAGACTTCTGATCTAGGAGCTGCGAGTAGTTTTATAGCCTTCTAATTACCCTCTCAAAGAGCAAGTTCCTGCATTAATAAACTTTTACTTGCAGAAAAGGAGATTGGAAGTCATTTCTTAAAGTATTGGGAGATCTCTGATCCTCAAAGCAGGTATTCTAACTGGGACAAGAACAAAATTCAAAGGTCCCGAATTTCTCTGGGGATTCCTGGCATTAATTCTGGGAAAAGTAGAAAACAGAGATCCCAACAGAAAGAAGGAACAGATTGAATTAAATCATGTAGGCAGAGAATAAACGGGGTCTGCAGCAAGAATTACTAGGCAGCGACAAAAGGAAAGATTATAATATTTGTGGAGCTCAGCAGCACAGCCACAGGAGGGATAGATGAGAAACCCAAAACAAAGAAACACAATTAAAAACAATGCACAGTAAGAGATCAGAGCTCTTTCAAAGTACATTCTGGGGAAGGGGAGGTGTAGAGGAGATGAAACATTTTGTGGGATCCACTGAAAGCTGTGCCATTTTCATCATCTTAAAAATGTAGGAAGATAGCAGCCATTCAAATTTGTAGAATTTATTACTTTTATTATTGTGATTTATGTTACTTGTTTACATCCCGCCTTTTAGAGCAGCGGTGCCCAACCTTTTGGGCACCAGGGATCAGTTCTGTGGAGATATATTTTTCTACAGACCGGAGGGGTGTGTGGTTTTCTGTGCTGCCTGCATCCTGTGGTTGGTGCCTTGCTTGTTTGTGTGGCCTGATTTCTGGCATGCGGCAGACCAGTGCTGGTCCATGGACCGGGAGTTGGAGACTCCTGTTTCTGAGAGGAGGTGAGGTGGCTCAGCAGTTAAAGAGGCTGAGCTCGTCAGGTGGCAAAAGCTGGCAACCTAGGTTCAAGACCTGAGTATCGCGTGATGGAGTGAGCTCCCATTACTTGCCCCAGCTCCTGCTCACCCAGTGGCTTGAAAGCATGCAAATGCAAGTAGATAAATAGGCACCATTTGGGGTGGGGGAAGGAAACACCTTGACATGTAATCATGCTGGTCACAGGACTAGGGAAGCGTCTTTAGACAATGATACAGAAATGCTACCAGTTTGGAGCGGTTTGCCTGAATCAGTAGTAAAAAAATGCGACCGGTTCAGGCGAACTGGTATTTCCGACAATCAGCTGTGACGCATGATTTATATTAGGTAGAATGTAGATTTCCTGCTTTCTAGCTAATATAAATCGCGTGTCACAGCAGATTCCACCCCCCTGGCTGTTTTACATACCTTTGCAGACTCCGAAGGTTTCAAAATGTTCCTTTTTTAGCACTGTGCGAGTGCGCAATGCGCACATGTGCGCACACTCACCGAATCAGTAATATACTTCAGAGGATTTCACCGCTGCAATGATGGCTAGAAATGGAGATGAGCCCTACCCCATGACTGAATAGGGGAAATATTTTCCTTTTTAAAAAACCTGCCTTCCTTTAATTTTTTTAAAAAAACAACAACACGGCAAACATATGCTATACTCTTTCCTCCTCCTATTTTCCTCACAACAACCCTGTCAGGTGTGTTGGACAGAGAGAAAGTGATTGGCACAATTCCCCCAGTCGGCTTTCCTGCCTAAGGCAGGACTAGAACAGGCTTACCTAGTTGACTTTCATGTTTAGGCAGGACTAGAATTCCCAGTCTCCTGTTTTCTAGCCTGGTTTGTCTCAACCACTAGGTTTAACTGCTCCCTTTAGACAAAAAAAGATGACCCAGACACCCTGGCCCTTTTCCTGGGCTGGAGGGAGAGAAGTTAAAATGAAATGTCCACATAATATTTGATCAGTAGCCTAAGAAGAAGCAAAGCTGGTCCTAGTTTTTGCTGTGTTTGACTAATAAGTGCTCAGCTAATGGATAACTAATGGAAAAAGCACTCAAAGCATTTCCCCTCCAAAGAGGAAGATGGCTTTAAAATGACTCCACTCCTTTGATCACCAGTTTTTCACCAATCAGCTGTCTCACCCATCATTTCTTTAATATACCAGAATTGTCACATTTCTGGCTCAACGCACAAGAATTCCAGGCTCCTTGCACACAAAATCCGACTTTTGTTTGAAATGGGTAAGAAAAGTACACTAAGCTAGACAGGAATTATGGTAGCAAAGAAGATAAGCAATACAGGTAGTACTCAACTTGTTTTTGAGTACACAAATTCATTTAGTAACTGTTCAAAATTACAATGGCACTGAAAAAAGTGGTTTATGACTGGTTTTTTTAAAATACTTAGAACTGTTGCATCATCCCCATGGGCACGTGATCATGATTCGGACACTTGGTAACTGGCATGTATTTATAACAGTTACACTGTCCCAAGGTCATGGGATCATTTTGTAACCTTCCCAACCAAAAATCAAAATCAATGTGGAAGGCAAAATTTGCTTAATGACCACTTGATTCAATTAGTAACTGCAGGGATTTGCTTAACAACATTTAACATCTGTCTTGATTAGCAATGAAACTTTGGACTCAGGTATGGTCATAAGCCAAGGACTATCTCTTCTGGATACTGAAGTGGTATACTTTCTTTTTGCCATTATTATTGTTGTTGTTGTTGTTGTTGTTGTTATTATTATTGTTATTATTAATTCATTAAACATGAAACTCAGTCAACTGAACATTTTAAAATGCATCACAAATACCATTGACTGGTGCTAATGGTTGAGATGAGTTGCTGCCAGCATCCTGGGTATCAACCAAGTATCTTCTTAAAATATATGATATGTATGATTTTTGCAGTTCCGCTGGTGTTCTTGAAGGAAGCTGCATTATTATTATTATTTGGTTAATCTTTGGTGAGATTCACAGCCTTNTTTCCCAAGCAAGGTACTTAGTAATTACTGTAAGTGGTTTCCTTTTCTGAGCTGTGGTGGTGCAGTGGTTAGAACGCAGCATTGCAGGCTAACTCACTGCTCACAGCCAGGAGTTTGATC